CCCCAAAACCCCAAAACCCCGCTAATCAAAATAATGAAGAGATTTTGGGAAAAATTAGCGGATTAAATGCATATAAAAAGAGGGTACCAGATTGACATATTTATTATTAATTAACAAAGATACATTTTTTAGAATGTCGAATCTTTTCCCTAAAAGAGAATAGTTTAATTATCCACCACAGGTGGCAAACTAAGATACATCCTGGGCCTATATCCATTCGTTCCACTCAAGAACTTTTGGAGTTTAGGACATTGATGCTCAGAATTACAAAATAGGCGCTCAATCTCAGCAATTAGGAGGCGGAGCAGGATCCGGGCAGATCAACCAGTCTTAACCAAATAATGCACAGAGAACAAGGAAGGAACCAATCGATAGATTCGCTTCTATTGTTGATGCAGAGGATCCTAGGTTTGAGAAGCAGCGCAGAGAGAATCAAAAGACTTGGGAGGCAGGAGTCTAGAACATGTGCTCAACCCTAACAAGAAGCATTGATGCCTTTTACGACAGAAAAACAGAGGTTTATCAAAACCTAGTCCTCGCCTAAGTTGCTAAGAGAGATATCCACACACCAGAGGTAGACATCAGTGAAATCTCAGAAGAAATCAAAGACTTGGCTTTAGCCCCATGGCTATTCTAGACATTACCTGCGACAAAGCCCTCATAATGGACGGATTCATAGTAATTACAAACTTTGGTTGAGAGACTCGATCAACTGTAGCCAGCAGCATTATGGAATGAACCTTTGGATATCATCAGCGGGGGACCGGAATTCTTTACTCATTCTCAAGAATTTATCAGAAAACAAACAGAAAAGCTAAATAAATAGAGTTCAATCACAGAAAAGGAAGTAGAATTGATTAAAACTTAGAGCAATGCAATCATAAGTGTATTTGGAATATCAGTTTTAATGGCAAATCATGAGAGAATCATTAATACTTTAGAGACTTTACATGAGTTTTCACAAAATTGTAAGCACTCAGATGAAGTATTCAAATAAGCAGAACCATAACTCAAAAAGTACCTTAAATAAATGGTTGACTTTGCTGAAAACTAGAAGTCACTTCACTATCTGTCATCAAACTCAATTCACGGACTTATATCTATTGCAAAGTATATCTCATTCAACAACATCAATGAAAATAACTGTTCAATAACAACAGATGGACTGTACATTTACTTACTCATTTCAATTGCTTAGAGAGCCTGCATGTATAAAATAGGTACTGGAGAGAATGGCACACTTGCTGGTAAAATCTATCTAAACGTACCAACAGACAGAGAGGGAGAAATCACCTGGGTATATTGCCAAGGCAAACTTTACTCAAGAAGAGCAAATGAAGAGCTAGGATTAATTACTATAATTGATCCAGTTACACTTAAACCTGAAAGTACTGCCAAGCTTTTCTTCGGAGATGCCTATTAAAATCCAACTGCTTAATCAATGAATAGATACTATCCACTTTTGTCAGATGGAAAGAATATATTCGTTGTGACTATGCAAATCGCAAACAAAAGAAGGAGAGTAAAGGATGACATGAGAAAACTTTACTAAGGACTTTAAGATTTCAAGAAAAAACTTAAAGAGGAACAGAAGAATGAAGCATAATAAAAACCAGAAGAAAAGAAGGATCAAAAGGTCATTGAATCACTAGAAGATAACAAGAAAGTCCTAAAGAATAATAAAAAAGAGGAAATAAGAAAGTAGAAATTGGAAAAGTAAAAGAAGGCTCAAGAACAAAAGCTAAAGGAGTAAGCTGCAGCCAGTGCAAATTAAGAGGAGAATAAAGAAGCTTAGAAAGTGTAAGTAGATCCAGAACTATACAAAGTATGTGAATTCTATGTGCATGAGTTTGATGTTCAAAATCAAGGAAGTGAAGAACTTCCTATCTAGAAACTTCTAGAAAATGACTTAGTAAAGGAAATTCACAATTCATTCTCTGGTTTTTTCAGCTTTGAGGAATGCTACAGAGCTTTGCAATTCAACAACAATGATATAGTGGAAGCTGTTCACTGGCTTGTTGACGAAGGAGAGAAAAAGAGAGGCAACAAGCAATTCAACAAGAAGAGATCAATAATGATTGGCGAATCAGAAATCATCAGTGAGAACCAGTCAAAGAAAAACGAAATCGACTTAGTAGTCAAGCATGACTCAATACTATATCCAACTAATCTTACTGCTGGTAGATGGACTATTTCTAAAGATCAAATCACCTATCACAACTTATCCCCTGATAGTGGTTATGTCAACATATTCTCTCTCAAATCTGAGGATGTTAAGATAATGAACAGAAATGAAGATAAAAAAGAAATCCTTTTGAGTTCTCCAGCAAGATAACAATCAGTCATCCTTGATGGTTAGAACTCAGTAATTTATGTCTAGCAACCTATACTAGTAAAATCTAATGAAGAACCTGCTGCCTCAATAAAGAGTGAGCAAGTTGCGGTAAAGAATTCAGAGACAGATTCAAAGCAAGAATCAATAGATACAGAAATATAGGGTGATAATGCAGAGCCACTGAAGGAAGAGGAGTTATTTGAGGACATCAAACTTATGGGATCCTTCTTAAAGTAGATTAAGCTATAAAGAGTTCAAGATTTCAATTGTGGTAGAACTCTAACGTATGATCATCTCAATGGCAAATTTTATCTGCTCTTGTTCTCCAATTCCACTAAGTACATTTATGTAGCTGAAGACCTGCAACAAATGGAACATCTAATCTAAGAGTAATCAAATGTTATCAACACTAATGAAACTAGCGTACTAAATCGAATTCTAACTGAGGACATGCAAAATTTCAATGATTTTGCCCTTAAAACACTAGGGATACTAAAGGAAATCGGAAAGAAAAGATTCTGTATGCCTTGGAGATGGAGACCATGGACTAACTTATATCTATAAGTGCTATAGCAATGGGGATAAGAATAAGCAGATATCTCACAAGATTCTTAAGAATCCCGTAGCTAAATAGAGCAAAGAAAAAAATAGATAAATAAACTTGCTTCAAGGCTTGAAAAGGTCGGATTATATGAAAAGTAAGCATTAAGAAAATAATATGGACTAGAATATGAAGATAAATAACTTGCTTAAAAAGTTAGCAAATTAAAATAGACTAAAGAAAAGAAAAAAGAGCCTACATCAGCACCCAGAAAATTAACAGATTAAAGGTAGTTAGAAAGCCAACCATGGTAAAATAGCTCTGAGTTTTCTGGTAATTATGCCTTTTCTAGAGTAAAAAGTCCTGAATTGCTAATACCTAAAGAAATGTAAATGACATAAGTAGAGCCAAAGAAGTTATTTGCTTTCTGCATAAGTGGAAGTACAGATAGCTTAAAGTAGTTAATACAATTAATCAAAAAGGCAGAAGACTTAGCTCTAAAGCAATAGATAATGAATCAGATTCTTGATTCAGTTCTATACTCCGACATTTTATCAAGCCTTAATGAACCGAAATTGATTGATAACCTTTATTAATAACTTCTTGATTTCATAAATCCCTCAAACACACACTCAGATGAATAATTAATATAACTATCTTGGAGAACTTTGATAGTAGGATGGCCATTATTCGCAAAGACTACATAAAGATAAAATTAAATATTTAATTTAATCATTAGTCACAGTCTTAAAGCCTAATCTAGTGCTTCTTAAGTTTAACCTTCCCAAAATGAAAGATATTATTGTAAAATTATCATTTTTTTTCTAATCAGTTTTCTAGTCAAATTATTGTATAAAGAAAATGTTACACCTGTTGAGTTGTTTTATTTGAGGTTCAATTATTACGCATAAGTCTAATACCCTATCGAAATCTTGAGTTAATCTAGAGTTTTGAATAACATTCTGCTTATTGATAACCAAGATGGCTAGATAAAACCTATAAGTAGAGAGTAAATACCAGGAAACAGAGATAAATCTACTCCGACGCTTTTAAGACCAAGATATGAAAAGTTTTATGAAAAACATGGAGCAATGAAGTACAGTAAATGCGATGTTTCACTTAAAGAATGCAAGGAGTTCTATGAGAAAGAATATGAAATTGGAAATATCAACCATTTCTTCTTCAGTGTGCCTATTTAGCTAATGATTTGTACCCATCCAGATATTATTGAAGATAATGAGAACTAAAAGTAAAAGAACATCAAATTTGAAAAGTTAATTAAAGTATACTCTGATCAAGATTTCGGCTTTGAAAACATTGAGGGTCAAAAGGAAAGATTTGAAGAATCAGTGAAAGTCATCAATGAGCTAAGAGAAAATCATTCAAGATAATCAAAAGAACTTCTAGAGAGAATCTAAAACATCATTCTAGATTTTATTCTTAAACCTGATTAAAATCAAAATAGTCAAGTCATCAATTGCTTAATGAAAACATACCAAGAAATGCTTTTGCAAAACTTAGCCTAGATAGATTGGTCAAGATTCAAATATTGCGACTATGCTCTTGATTCCCTCAAATTCATTCATAAATGTGTTGAAGCTTTGTCGGATGAGACCAATAAATTTAAGAAAACTATGACTGACCAATAAGTCTTGTGGCTTTAAAACATTTAAGAGCTAGCCTATGGAGTTATGAGTTTGATATATACAATTGTAGACTATGACATCTATCCATATTTCGCAAAAGAATGTGTCACTTACATTCTGGGTATTATTGAAAAATTCAAGCAAATCTTTATCATTAGCAAAAATGGAGACTAGGAAGGCTCAACTAAAACCCAGTCACTTTTGGAGAAAGCATATGTATTTTTATCAGAGGGTGCAGATTTTACTTATGAAAAAGTATTTGAGACCCCTCACCCATATCCTAGAGTGGAGAATGTTTAAAAAGATAGCGTTTATGTTCAAAAAGCAATAGCCTTTTCAATAGAATTTGATAAGAGATGTTCTACTGAAAACTCAAATGATTTGTTGACTATTTATAGCTAAGACAATCCATTCTGGATTAATGATACTTTTGGAACATTATTGAAATTCTAAGGAAAACCTATGGCGAAGCATCCGTATATTGTTCTTGGAAACAGAATTAACCTAGAGTTTAGATCCTATTAAATGGGAAAGAAAAGGTAAGTCATTTCTTTAAATAATGCATTATTAGTGGGTATAGAGGAGGTTACAGAGAAGGAAGAGGAGGAATGCCACCTCAATCTCACCATTAGGAGGATACTTAAAACAGATGGGGATTCAAGGTGATCATAAGACCCATTTATGGAGAGCCTCCTTATATTCTCACATCATCATTGAAGAAAGAGCAACTCCTAGGTACCTACCAAAGATTAGGAGGAGAAGATAAAGTTGAAAATATGGTATCACTAATGAATTACTTATACTATCTATCCTCAAAGTTCTCTAAAACAGTAACATCAGCAGATCTCAAAGACTTTTAAGATGATTTGACTTAGGCATAAACTTAAGCTAATTAAGTAGGCAATGTACAAACTGATGATTACCTTAAGAAATTTATGAACTGGCATTTGTTTAAAGGAGGCCTTCGAACTGCAATTATTGATTAACTATAAAACCCTCAAGTCCTCTCAGATCTTTTGAATGATAGCATTTAGACCAGAGAGAAGGAAATCGATTTATAAATTAAATAAGATGAGATTTTCAAGGAAGAAAAGCCAAAGGAGTCTGTGTAGGATAAAGCTAGTACGATTGAGGCAGCTATTTTAAAAGAAGGAGATAAAGTTGAAATTGAAGAATTTAAACCAATTGAAGAATACTGGTCAAATGAACTTTATGATCTTCTGAAAGATTAGTAAACATTAGATCTGCTAAATAAGAAGATTAGAGAACTAGTACCTTATGCCATAACTTATTAAAATGAGAGAAAAAGACCAAACTTCAAGAAATAATACCAAGATGAATGGCAAAAGCTTGAATAGCAAATTGTAGTTGCAATGCTTTATCATTCAAACTCAATTGATGAGGCAAAGTAATTCATTGGAGCAAATGCAGACTCAAATGAGCAAATGGAATAAAAATATAAATTAATCGGTTCCTAAGTTAATGATATACTATCTTGGATGCAGTCAAGACTTCAAGGAGAGTAAGACTTCCAAAGCATGGTGAAAGATACGATTGAGCAGAGTTAGAATTATATTACTAAAGTTATTGCCAAGAAGAAAGAAGAAGAGGAGGAAAGATAAAAGTAGCTTGCTATCAAGCAGCTATAAGACGCTGAACTTAAAGAAAAGTTAGATAAAGAAAAGAAAGCTTAGGAGGGTCAAAAAGAGGAAGTAAAAGATGATTAATCCAAAAATTCTAAGAAAGGACCTGTCGTTTCAAAGTCAAAACCTGTAAAGCATGCTAAGAGAAAAACCGTAGTTAAAATGGCAGCAACTTAAGTTGATATTAAAAAGATATAAAAGGACAAAGATAAAAAGAAGCAAAAGGATGAATAATTAAAGCTAGAAGAAAAACAAAAATCTGAATAAGAGTTAATTAAGCAATAATCTAATCAGGCTGAAGATAATAAAGAAAAAGATGCAAAAGCTGAGGATGGTAAAATTAAAGTAAAATATCTTGAACTATACAAATAAGAAGAAAATGAAATCAAAAATAAGATTTACAATTAAGTTTATGAAGATTTCTTGCAGCTTTATTAAGGAAATTAAGATAGAGTGAAACCATTGTGTCTTCTTTTCAACATTTAATTCAATCCTGAAGATCCAAACGATTCACTTAAGGCAATATTTAAGAGACTAAAAAATAAGATTAAAACACTTATTGATTTCGATGGTGATTTACCAATCAGAGAATCTTTAGATATTGAGGAACTAAAGCTTGAGAGCCCTTATCAAGAAATCTGCAAAGACGTTTCTCAAAGAATTTAATTACTATTTGAAATCAAACCAAGTGTTGACTATCATAGTAAGGTGATATCAATGGACTAAAAAGCAATCAGAAAGATTAACACTCTATAAACCTCTTCTATGAAAAGAACTGATCTTATCAATGACAATGATACAGATTCTTAGAAACAGTATACCGAATCATCTTACTAAGGAGATGATGACTCAGATTTCTTGCCTCCTTTGGGTATTCAAAGATCTTAATCTGTATAAGTTGGATTATAACCTTCACTTTAAGGCATTTCAGGGTTCTCCTAGGTTGTTATTGCAGAATAAAGCAATATGAGAGAGGATGAAATTATAAATTGGATAGATAATTATAGGAAATGGAGATAATGGAATAAATAACATAATCTTATCCACAAGCAAGGAGGCTTAGATTTACTGGAAGAGGACCTTACCTCTCCATTCTGCTCTCCATTATACTCTATAGTATCATTCGCGAAATCTAGTAAAGTTCAAAACCCTGATAAGCTTAGACAGAGATTCCTTAATCACTAGATTAGAGCAGCTTTTAGGGTAATAGGACTTCAAATTCAGGAAAAAATTATTAAACTCTCTATGAATACTCCATTCCAAAGATTCGTTTGGGGAATTGTAAGCCAGACTTTAGTTGACTCAAGTTTCAATAATATCGAAACAGCAGGAGAAAAGCTATCATAAAATATCAATGAAAACTCCAGAATGTTAATCAAACAACTTATGGGAGATGTAATCTAGAGCAAAAGATACATCGAACTTTTCATTCATTAAAAGGTGCAGTAGGCTCATCAAGAAGTACAGATAAGTTAATAATAAGCTTAAGGATAAATCTATCTAAATTAAGCTGAAAAGGCAAAGAGATAATAGCAAATGAGTCAATAAAAATCAAATCAATAGATGGATGAATGGTTCATCTACGAGCAGCTTAAAAGACTATTACACACAATGAATGATATTAGAGTTCTTATGAATTGTCCTTATACAAGAGAGTACATCTTAGAAAGTCTTAAGTCTGAAAGAACTTCTTCATCTCCCTTAAAGGAATCATCTTCGAAGAGATTAGACATAACAGATAGATTGAACTATGAGACTCTCTAAATATTCCTTAAAGCAGTAGTCTAACTTATGCAATTTACCTCTGGAATTTAATAGTTCATAAAATTCTCGCATGTCTAAAATACTAAATTGCAGTTCTAAGTTACAAACTGCATTAAACTTCTTTTGAATTAATTTATGGCAGACAGAAGCATGATGAGATCAAACGAGTCTTAAAGATTGTTGTAAGATATGCTTCTAGATATTATTGTCCAACTACTTGAAAAGCATTGTGGAATTAAGCCTTAAAAATCAAGTAAAGGAGATGAGGCTCAGGCATAAAAAAGCTCAAGACCTAATTAGTTGTCAAGCAGACATTAATACCAAGAAGAGCTTGTTCAACTTTTGAAGATATTATCAGAGGTCATAAGAATAAGCAATGACCACCAGAAATAAATGCAAACCCTTTAAGGAATGAGTGACGTAGACTCAAACAAAGATGCTTACTTCTTAAGTGAGGGCTCAGAGAAAGTTACTAGATGTGCTTAGATTCTTGCTTACCTTATGCATAATACTGAGATTCCCATTGTAATGAGATAGACTATTAAGTGTGCTAAACTTTTCTTTAAACTAGTAGATTTCAGAAATCTAACACTGCATTATCCTAATGTACAAGTATCCAGTGACTAGCCCTCTACACTTGCTGAGTAAACCAGCAATCAATTTTTGTTAGAGACATTGAAAAAGATTGGAGAGAAGATTACTAACTTCAAAGAGTCAAAAGAAGAGGACAAATAGAAGTTGTACATAGTTTATGGCAATGTAAATTCATCTGATGAAGATTACTCATTCCTTTTGACTGCACTGTATCATTGGGAGACTATGTATCCTACATTTACCCTTGAATTACCAAAGAGTCCTAGTGAAATAGTAGTCAAATCAAAACCGAAGGAAGAAGAAAAGAAACTTGAGGATGGAGTATCAAATGAATCATAAGCTCATAAATTACTTCAGTAAATCTAAGAATAAGACAGTAATATCGATCTCCAAGAACTAATCAACATTTAAAGATAACAAAATCAGCTAAATGGAAGAGGAGGTAGAGGTGGTAGACCTGTTAAGCCATCTGATTAAAGAGGCAAATTTTCAGCTATCTTTGAAAGATAAGTCACTTAATCTGAACAATCTAAATACAAGATTAACCAATATGCTCTTGGCAAATCAGCTGAGTAGAAAATACCTCCGGGCTACAGCTATTCAAGTAACCTCTCAGTTTATATGTCTTAGATTAGTCTTTCAAAGGTTGATAACATCTTTGATGAAATAATTAAATCAACTTGGGAGGAGTGCAAAGATGATGATACTCAAGAGGAGCAAGAAAGAAAACTAAACGAGAGAAATTTCAATACCAGGGTCTCATCCCATCTTAAAGATGCGCTTTAATTGGCAGTCATTCTGCATCAAAGATACTCAGCTCCTCTGACAGAGCCATTGCCTTACAAAAAGGCTTTAGAGTTTTCAAATTTACTATAACAAGCTTACAACAATCAATTAGCTCCTATCTAAATTAATCCGTTTATGAAAGCCGAATCCAAAGAAAAGAAGCTATCTAATGCTAAAAGTGTTGCTCAATGCTTCCCATTGTTAGTAAAGACTATTGATTCAGGCAAAAAGGCTAAAGATCTTCCACCTGGAGCTTGTGCTTCAATAGTAATTGCACCAAAGCAGCTAGTTGTATCAATTGCTGAGAAAAGAGTTGCTCAAAAATATGAGATAATTGTTGAGACTAAGGGTGCAAGTTTGAAAGCTCTTGAGAAAAATCCAATTGATGGTTTTGCATGTAATGTTATCTCCTAGTAGATAAGAAGATAAGGAGCCTCAATATCAGTTATAATTCAATAATATATCCAGCTGTTAAGAAGCCTAGTCACTAAATCGAAGAGATCAATCTCATAGAAACAGAAAGAACAGTAATTGAAATTCTCAACTATTATTCTAAATGAGAAAGTTGATAAGGAAAAGTCGATTCAAAAGATTCAAAAGCAATAGCAGATAATTGGAGATTAGATAGTCGACATTTTTAACAAATCATTGAAAGCACTTCAAGATAAGAATTGGAAGGATATTGAAACTATTGATAAATAGATAATAGTAGGAATCATGGCATTGATAGGGGGTTGGAATCCACCAATTAAGCAAGGATAATCAGTATAAGTCGAGATTAATAATTAATGGGTTGATGCTATAGTTGTTGATGATGGTCTTGGAAAGAAAAGAGCCTCTGTAATTTTAGAGGACGATGATACCTTAGCTGTTCAAAAAATCCCAGTTGATAGAATTAGAGCTAACGAGAAATATGAATGGCCATTTGAAGGTCTTCTAAGCTACAAATTAGATTAAGCTGACTTGTGCAAAGCAGTAATCAACCTTTATAAGCAATAATAAGAAGATAAATCTTAAAACTAAAGTGCAAATATATTAGATGAAGGTCTAATACTGCTACTACTACTAAAAGTTAGTTCAAAACTTAAATGGTAGATTAGTACAAGTAATGTTGAAAATTTCTAAGAATTTATGAAAATTTTGGCTTAAATCACTAAGGAGCAGTAAGATGCTGAAGACAAAAATAAACAGTATTGGGAAAAAGCATTTATTGATTCTTGGGAGAGAATACTAGACAAGGATGAAAATAAAAATCATGACTTCTTCGTGGTTAGAGAAAACTTCTTGAAGGATGAACAGATAATGCCATCTGCAATAGATGAAGAAGTTAAGGAGGAAGCTAAGTCTGAAAATAATGGTGAGACCAGCAAAGATAGCAAAGATTCAAAATTCAAGAAAGATCTTATGTCAAACTATGTTGATAATGAATTCGTATAACCTCTGAGCTCTTATCTTAAAGGTCTTCCAGAGTAGGTTTCCAAGAAAAATAGGAGTGAATCAGCTTTGAAACTTCTTGCATATTGGGAAAAGAATATAATACCAAAGATTATTGAATTTGTTAGAACAACATATAAACCTTGGGAAATGGAATTCTACTTTGAATAGCTAAGACATCATTTAAGAAGTGGTGAATAGATATAAGCCTTGGATGATGCAATGACAATGTGTGAAAAGAAAATGCCATAAGGTTGTAATCCTCCAGATGATAATCACGATTGGTCATCTAAGATGGCAGATGAGTGTATTGTTGATTCATGGGCACTTGCAAAGCTCAAAACATAAAGAGCTAGTATATAAAATCAATAAGCTGGATAATAATAGTAAAACAATATTTCTGGTGATACAAACTATCCTTTGTTAAATAAACTGATCAATTTAGGAATAGAGGAAATAGTTATTTTGATTAAAGCTATTGATCTAAAGACTAATGTAATTTTAGCTGAGTATTAGGACTCTGATACCATGTAAGTTCACTCAATTTGGATTCCAGTTAGCTATTTGAATGACTTGCACACTCTTCTCCCTCCAAGAGCAGTGGGATACACTATGGATTCATTAAAGTAATAATTTAACGTAAATTCCTCAATGATCAAGAAGATATATGCAAGGTAGACATTAATCAAATTCTTCTAATCATTCTAAGAGAATTTTTCAGCTAAATCTTTAACAAGCCCAAGCAAGGATGTCTAAGCTCAAGAAATAATATCTTGGAGTATATGGGAATCTTTTAACGAAGATCCCATAAATGGATGGATGAAAGATCTTTCTTGCGCCTTGCCTATTTAAAATCTAAAAGCTTCAAGGGATGATGTAAGCACAGAAGTTAGTACTAAATCTTAGGATGAATCTAATTTGATTCAAATAGTTGAAAATGTCAGCGATCACGTTATTTATGAGTAGCTAATGGCAAATCAAGGTTCATAACAAATCCATAACTAGGGTTTTGATACCTTAAATCTAATTTAGAACATGCTTTTAAATACTTTGACAAATGTAGATGATTCTAAACCAGAGACATTAGAGAGTCCAGATCTCAAGATGATTTTAGAAATTGTTGAATGGTGTATTATGAATTGGTATGGAATATCAGACAATATTAAGAATCAGAGAGTAGTATTTGATCTCTTCTAGCAATATGAAAGCTTCGTCAATAAACCTTAATCTCTAGACAAAAACTAAGTTTAAACTTCCAAATTAATGCCATTACACGATCTTATTCCAAGAGATTAACAATCATCACCTGCTATTGCTACTTTACTTATGTTTAAAAAGAGTGGGGTTCATTTAACACCAACATCTAAGATTTAGTTCTATTCAGACTCAAATAAAGTAAATCTTATTAGTGAAATTTCTGCTGGTAGTGAAGGTAAGAGAGACTTGCCACCACTTCTCTTAAATCATGGACATATTTGGGTTAATATTGATGCAGGAACCACTGCACTTCTACCTAAGCATTAATAAATGGAACAAAAGTCCTCAAGTCTTCCATGTGCTATTGTTTAGATTCCTAAAATGTGGACAGTCAATTGCTGGCTAACAGAGACAATAACTAATGTACTACTTCAAAATGCTTTAAAAAGCTAAAAGTTTACAATTGAAATATATTCAAAGCTTATTGCCTCTTTGACTATTTTCTATTAAGATGCTAAAGCACCTAGTATGTTAAAATCAATGATATTTAGATTATTAACCAGAATAATCAGAAAACTTAGGTATATCTATCAGTTAAATCCTAATAATAATGTGGTAAGCAATGACAATTTAAAGAAACATCTTGAAAGCTTATTTATAAATCAAGAATTCATTGAGACATTATTATGTGAACTGCTTTTGCACAAGGAGGAGGAAGAGTAGAATGCTCTAAATTATGGTTAATAAATTCTATATCCTGCTTTTGTTTAAGACTGTGTTGAATTAATATTAACTATAATGATGCCTGTTGATAAGAATGTTAGAGTTGATTCATATAAAGATTTAATTGATGCTAATAAGTTATCGATGCCGGATTGGATCAAACCTCTTATTAAGGTTTCAAACATAATGCACTACTTTAGCTCAGAAGTTAAACTTTCAGTTGAAATCCTAAAGGAAATCTACAATGATACCAAACTAAATCATCAATAATTAGATTAGATTTTGGTCCTCTAAGGCATCCCCAATGATCAAGATAAATATCCGAGGTAATGGATAAGATCTCAAATTATTAGCATTCTTGAAAAGCATGGAGTTAGGATTTTAAATCCATCCAGAGATATCATTCTTTAGCTTGAAGATAAATAAGCAGTCATTATTGCTGATGGCTTTGATCATATGCATCTAGTCAAGGATGATGAGAAATAAAAGGATTTGAAAGTAGTTGACAGTGATGAGGAATAAGAAAATGAAATGAAAGTTGAAATTAAGGAAGATCCTCCAGCTTTACCAACTCAATGGGATTGCCCAATTTGTACATATATTAATGCTCTAGGATCAAGTATCTGTGATGTATGTACAAGTCCTAGACCTCCCATGGAGTAAATTGTTGCAGCATTTTAAGCTTTACTCAATTAAGGCAACGATTCAAGTGATAAAAAAGAATAGGAATCTAAAGCTGAGGAATAAAAGTCTGAGAGATAATTGAGATTTGAATTAGTAGCTTTCGATTTGAGCCTAATATTTAAGAGAGAAGAGAGAAAGATCGTTAAGGAGAGAAAGAGAAAAGAAGAGGAGGAAAGATAGAAAAAGATTGAAGAAGAGAGAAAGCAAAAGGAAGAATAAGAAAAAATCAAGAAGGAACAAGCAGAGATTGAGAAAAAAGCTTAAGAAGAGGCAAAAAAAAATGATAAGAAATCAAAGAAATCTGGTGACAAGAAAAAGAAAGACAAAGGCAGTGCTGAAAGAATTATCAAAGCATCTGATAATAATTCAGATAGAATCCTATTGTAATCATAAGTTATTGAGGAGATGTTTAACAGTTAAATTTCCAACGAACATGAACTAATGATTGGAAGAATGAGCCCAGAAGACATAGCAAACTCTCAATTGGAGGCCCTTCAAGCTTCTTACCAGGATGATGATTATGAAGAAGACGGCTTAGATGATGATAATATGGATAGCTCTGCAAGAAGAGAGAGGATTAAGGCTAAGTTACTTGAAACTGGAATGATGGATCCTTAAATGCTGGAATAAGACCCAGATCTTTTGGAGGCACTTCTAGAAAGTATGATGGCAGAGGAGCAAATTGCTAGAGATGTATCGAGGAAGAAAAAAGCTGAAGAGGAAGAATAAAGAAGGAAAAATAGAGAGGAAGAAGAAAAGCGCAAAAAGAAAGAAGAGGAGGAAAAGAAGAGAGCTGAGATGGGAGATGAAGCTTATGAGGCTCTAAAGCCTAAATACACTAAACTAAAGGCACTTGTTGGTAGGAACCAGGTGTTTGATGATATTGAGAGCTCAAGATTAGTCTATAAGATATTGAGAGATAGACTTCAAGATGCACCAAATGATTAAAATTTCCAGTTCTCAGATAAAGTCATCAAAATCCTAAACTAAATTCATTAGAACTTCTAGCAATACTCAATAGAAGATTTGTCATTCCCAAACAGCTAATTGCTAGATGATTTTGAGCTTACCAAATCAAGCATAAAGAATGAAGGTCTAGAAGAATTTATAATGAAATGCTAAATGTTGGTTGAAACAGATGTAAAGCTATTTATGATGATTCTAGAATCTCAAGGATATGATTTCTGGCTTGAAAAAGTTGCCTATCCAACTTACCTTGTTGAAAATGACTAATAAGCTGTAAATATTCCTTTACTAGAAAAGCTAAAGACATTTATTGAGATTGACATGTGCAAAGAGACCAAAGGTGTGGTAGCTTTGAGTCCAAATGAGTTGAGATTACTGACAAAGATGAGTCAGGATGTAGTCAAGAGCACCTCAGAGGAAGAAGTAGAAAAGCCTATCAACTACTATGATGATACTTTAATGGGTACTACCTATCCAGAAGTTAATGAAAGATTATCAATTACTGAGATAAGATACCTTTGGTCATTACTTAAGATATTTAATAAATATCTTGCTCCAGCAGTACCTTACATCAATACCTCTCAAAGCATTCAAGGCATTCCAAATAACTCTATACCCCTCACTTTATCAGCTTATATGAGTTTTACCAGAAATCTCTGTTTGATGAATGTGAAGTTCGATTTGAGACATTTGATTCTTGAGAAGACTTCTATTCAAAGAGAACATGCTCCTAAACTATATTTTGAAAGACTCAAGTTAGCTCATAGAAATAGAGAATATGAAGAGGGTATTGAGGAAAACAGAAGCCCATAGAGATAGTCTGAAAATAACTAGAATAGCAACAATCAGGAGGGGTAGAATCAAGGACAGGCAGGCAGAAATAAAGATCATAAGAGGCAAATGGACTTTATGTTTATGCAGGCATTTGAGCAGATTAAAGAAATGGATCTAGCGTAACTAAGACCAAAGAAACCTCAAGGTGCTGAGCCTCATCTATCTTTCCATATAGTATTTAGAGGTGAGCATGTCGTTGGTGAGGGGGGCCCTTACAGACAATTCTTCGCTGATATTTCTCAGGAGCTTCAACCAAACAACCTTGGAAAGAATCCAAATCAAAAGATGCTTAACTTACTCAATCCAAGTGCGAACAATAGAGCTGGTAGTAACATTGGAAAAGGAAAGTTTGTCCTTTCACCATCTAAAAGCACATCGCAGGATCTATCATTGTTTGAATTTCTTGGAATTTTAATGGGTGTCTGCATAAGAACAGGTGCACATATGAATCTTGATATTCCATAGTTTGTTTGGAAGTAATTAGTAGGCTAAAAGTTGAATCATGAAGATCTTATTGAGATCGATCTTGGTTTCTGGAAACTTCTGAACTTCATGCTTAATTCGAACAAGAAATTATACGAAGACAGTATTTTCGAAACATGGGTTGTTACTCTTAGTGATGAAACAGTAGTTGAATTAAGGCAAAACGGTAAAGAAGAGAGAGTTTAGTATGAAGACAGAATCGCATACATCAAGCAATCAATCTAAACCAGACTAAGAGAATGCTCTTTGCAATGCGAGGCTATTAAGAGAGGAGTGTCCAAGATAGTTCCAGAGGCACTGCTTAATATGGTTACTTATAATGAACTAGAAACTTGGGTCTGCGGTAAAAACATAGTTGACATAGACTTATTGAAGAGACACACTAAGTATGGCGGAGACACTAAAACAGTTATTTTGAATGAGGAAAGCAGAAGAGTAAAATGGTTCTGGGAAGTACTACGAGATTTTACTGAGGAAGATAAGCAGAAGTTTATAAAGTTCTGCTGGGGTCAGCAGCGACTTCCTGCAAATGACGAAGAATTTGATCGAAGACAAGTCAGATTTATGATAAAACCGGCTATGAATAACAAAAACGGGGATGGCGCATTGCCTAAAGCTGACACCTGCTTCTTCAATTTTGAGTTACCTGACTACTCAAGCAAAGAAATAATGAAGCAGAGAATATTGCTAGCAATTCACACAGATTCAGATAGCATGAATGCCGAGGCAGGAGTAACAGACATTAACAATCCTGAAAGCATGCTCAATAATAACGGTGATTTGGATCACTCCTATGATGAAGAATATTGAGAAGCTGAATAATATTCAACAATCTTTTTGCTGTGTTGAATTAAAAAAGGAAACTAGCCTTAATTTCAAAACTAAAACTTCTAACATAAATTTATTATTTTAATTAATTTAATCAATATCCTATCTAGCCGCAATCAGTGATTGTAATATTAGCTCTTGGAGTTCCCTTAACTGAGCCATATTTATTTATAATTTTCAAAAAGTCAAGTCCCTTCACAACTTAACCGAACGCAACATACTAATCATCTAAATGTGGATAATCATCAAGGGTAATAAAGAACTAGCTATTGTTTGTGTTTGGTCCAATATTAGACATTGACAGAACTCCAGCTTGTGAATGTGAATGAGAGAAATTCTCATCATTAAATTTAGCTCCATAAATTGATTCACCACCTGATCCATTTGCCTTGATGATATCACCTCCATGGATTATAAAGCCTGGTATTACACTATGGATGATAGTATTTTTATACCATAATTATTTTAGAGGAGTTGTCACACAGGGGCCTTTCTCACCGGTACAGAGAGCCCTAAAATTTTCAGATGTCAGTGGTGTTTCACTAGATAACTCAAACTCAATTCTACCCTAAGGCTAATTGCCTATTGAAATATCGAAGTAAACCGTTGCAAATACACCTGAAGATTTTAAATCTAACTTTTTCATTATATTCAACTTTTTTCCTGAATTCACAATAAAATCTTATTCAACTTTAAGGGGTTTTGGGGTTTTGGGGTTTTGGGG